GACATGGTTTCACTGATTCGTATTAACATGAAGAGAATTTATGAATTTGATGAAAAGATTCAATCATGAGTACAGTAAAGTCGACTTTATATGGCCAAAGGATACATATATGTAGAAGTCGTGTACTATTTAGTGTTTTTGATTTGTGTCAAAATTATTTAGCCTACTGGCTTTCTTTTGAATATTATTCGAAATCAAACTTGAATATATTTGTGTTACTAATCTCTGCCAAATTTTGATTCTTGATTAATTTACTTCCCCAAACTCAAAAAGAAGTGCTTTTTGTAAATTCATTATTAATTGCTCTCGCAGGTCTGATTACTCGCTAAAAATTCCAAGAAAGGCAATGGACAAATTGATAAGCAAGCAAAACGAAGTTGTAGTTACATTAGCAAAGCAACTAAAGTGGTTCTGGTAGAGCGGATTGTGGTGGAGTGGAAGGGACTCCTCCACCCTTAATCATAGGTCGAGGGTTCGAATCTCGTCATGGGCATGGAACAACCTTAAATATTTTGACCAACTGTTCCACCTATCAAGGTGCCTACAATTCAGCGAGGAGATTAGTCATTATTGTCGACGGTGGACACTCTTGTATGCGAAAAAAAAAAAAAGTTACATTAGCAAAGCCCATTATCCTAAAGGAGTTGAAGGATAACAGGAACTCTGTGTTCTCGCGGATGTCCCTCCACTTCTCATTGAGCTTTGTAGATTTCCAAAGAAAGGTCAGTTGTACAGTTTTTTACTTTTAATTCATTTTGATGGCAAATATATGTATCTTTTTCTATATATACATCTTGAAGTTGGGTAACCAGTTTCTTGAAATAGTTTAAACGTTAACCTGTGAAGCTCGTAAAGTTTCCATTTTTTTATTGAATTAAATGATGGGATAGCATGTTGAATACTTGTGAATCCTTTTACCCTTTTTTTTTTTTTTTTAATGTAATGCTGATATATATAGTGATGATACCATCTATTAGTTTTAGTGTGATTTGAAAACATGCTATCTCCTTTCTATATAATACTAGGGGAAGAGGCTACACGTTGTGCAGCGAAAGGGGAGTAGTAGCCCAGTATTTTCTCATAAGTTATTAGTTAGATAAAGATACAATAGTTCTAAGAAACTACGGGTTTGTATGGCCAACATTTTTTTTAGTTTTTGTTTTGGTTTTTGATTTGGATTTGAAATGTGATTTAAAATGTAGTTTGAGATAAAATTTAAAAAGATGTTTGCGTGATATTTTATATAAACTAATAATATTTTTAGACCACCACCAGACCACCTCCACCGCAGCCGACGCCGGCTGGCGACCGACCGACCGAATCCCAGCCAAATTCCGGCCGGCGGTGGTCCGGTGGCGGCGGGTGGTGGTGGAGGTGGTCTCGTGGTGGTGGATGAAAATTATATAAAAATAATTTTTAGAATATTTATTAAAAGGTAAATTAAAAAGTTGCTTGGATACTATTGAGATTTGTATTTGAGAGGTGTTTTAAGAGGTAAAATGAGACAAAAATGCAAGTATTAGGCAAACAAGCCCTACAATTCTTTCTCAACAATACTGCAAGTGGTAGGAAATGAAAGCCAATTTAACACTAATATGAGTTTTGTAAAAGAAATTCTTTGAGATGATACAGTACTTTGATACAGCATGTCATATAATGCTATAAGTTCAGTCACTTCTTTATATTTAATCTGAATAGATTGAACCATCAAACTGAAGTCTAATTTTCAAATTCTAGTTTAAAGTGAAAGCATTCCTCAGCAAAGGAGCCAAGAGGCCTAAACATCTTGCCAAAGTTTCAGCATCACAAAGTGCAAATATCTCCCTCATGTACGCAGGACATTCCTGTCATAAACTATTAACTGTCAAATGAAAATAACTCAGAAAATTTACACGAAGTCAGCATACTAAAGAGAAATTGATTGTATTGTCAAAGTTGAACAATCTAAATTCATGAGAAAGCAGAGCTTGAAGCCAATTCAATAGTATGCCTAATTTATGCTCCTAACATATCAAAGGCAACATGAGAGCTTTATTTGACAGCCACAGAGCAATGAACTAACGTAAATGTTCTCATTATATAGTCTTAAAGGGGAAAATAAGCACTTGAGAGTAAGCCGACCAGCATAATTTCGAGCATATGAGCATATGTGACTTAGTAGGAACTTTCAAACCCTGAAGATACCAAGGAATGGAAAATCTACAAAGGAAGACAGAGATTCACTTCAGAGTTTAGATAGAAACAAATTAGAGATGTAGAACATATTGAAGACAAGGTATGATTCTCTATTTAACATCCACTCGTGATGAAAACTAATTAAGCGAATTTCCTGATTGCATTTTCAGAGGCAAAAAACCAAACACTTTACATGTTGAAAATTTTAAACTAACCGAACGCCTTAGGAAAACAGAATCTAAAAGCTGAAAGGTTCATATTTTTGTCAAGTTCACATAACACTCGTTCAGACTTAAAATCAAACACATAACATGTGGCTAAAAAACAAGCCCAGAACATAAGCCACCTTAATACTGTTTTACAATCTGTGTCAACCCACTCTAATATTGAGCAAACCCCCGTTGTAATTTTACTTTTAACCTTCAGTTTATTTTCTTCCAAACAAGAAGATGATGTTTCCCAGAAAAAAAAAAAAAAGAAAAAAACTCATAAAACTCAGCCGAAAAACTACATCCCTTATAATAATCAATTAATGACTTCAAATTTCACAAAGTCAAATGCAAATCATTTCAACTAAAACCCATGAAAATAAAAAGAGGATCAACGACAGATCTGGTTACTTACTGATCATCAACCCTGAAGAACGATCTATTTCAAACATTTCCGTTCAATGCAAACTACCTAATTACAGGTTACAATTTCCAAATTTTGGGAGAAGCCCTTGCGTCTATAATTTGGGGGAACACCGTACCTTCTCCCAATTCCTTGAGTCACGTTCAAATAAACGTTTTGGAATATGATTTCAGAAATCAATTAGAAATTGGGGGTTTAGAGATTGATTTAGATGATTGGAGTTACAAAGCTGCAAAAGAAATTAAGAAGATGATGGCGGACATAACAATGTGCTTTGAAAGAGAAGAGACGGAGAGTATGGGTGAAAAGGACCCATAGCGCACTTCACAACTTTTAGGCGTCTGACACGTGTACGGAGAGTGACCAACCACCGTACCTAAATAGGTCCATGGCAGGTCGAACTCCCCCTTTATATATTGTAGATAACATTCAAAGGCATCCAAATCCATATTCCTTTTTATACTGGCATTTCATCATTATATAATTATCCATAATGGTTGGATCTAAGATTCAGGACAAGAAAGGGATCCCGCAGGATCAGCAGAGGCTGATCTTTGCGGGGAATCAATTGGAGGATGGTAGAACACTGGCGGATTACAACATCCAGAAGGAATCACTCCATCTCGTGTTGAGATTGAGGGTGGTATGCAGATTTTCGTGAAGACGCTGACTGGTCAGACTATAACCCTTGAAGTTGAGAGCCACCTCTTGCAACAGCGTCAGCACCGTCGTCGCATAGTACCTGGAAAAAAAAAGAAAAAGAAAATGTAGAAAATTTAAAAACAAAATAACTACATGAATCAAATAGAGGAAACAATGTGGTAAATCAAAATTTTGAAAAAAAAAAGGTTAAAAAATCTGGGCACCTCTTTAGAAGAGTGTCAATGTCAACTTCGCTGACATAATTCTTCCTTGGCTTCTTTGATTTCTCCCCCATTCTACAATAGCATAACCTGGTGCTGAGAAATTTGCTTTCGGATTGAGGAAAAAGATGAACGTTAAACCCTGGAGAGAAGAAAAGAAAGGGGGGTTTTACGGAGACGGATTTCTGAGACGGCGAAGACTTTGACGACGACGTTTTCTTTTTCCGGTCCCCCCTCGTTTTCTTTGTCGAGCAGTGGAGCGAGGACCGATTAGGTCGTTGGGGCCATGTGATTTTTCGTCGAGGGGAAGAAAAGACCTCAAGAAATATATCAGCCGAAAGTCAAATACTTTAGTTGCAATTTTGTGGACATTTGGTTAAAAAAAGAAAGCTTGTTTGGCCACTATTTTGTTTTAGTTTTTGTTTTGGTTTTTAATTTGGATTTGAGATGTGATTTAAAATGTGGTTTGAGATAAAATTTTAAAAATTGTTTGGATGATATTTTAAATAAACTAATAATATTTTTAGACCACCATCGGTCATCGGACCATCGATGCCGTCGGACCGCCCACTATCGCTGCCGGCCGGCGACCAACCGATTGGATTCTAGCCAAATTCCGGCCAGGAATCCGATCGGCCGGTCGTCGGCCGACGGTGGTACGGGGGTGGCGGCGGGTGGTGGTGGAGGTGGTGGATGAAAATTGTGTAAAAATAATTTTTGAAATATTTTTTAAAATGTAAATTAAAATGTTATTTAGATAGTATTGAGATTTGTATTTGAGAGGTGTTTTAAGAGATAAAATAAGACAAAAATGTAAAATAAGTGTTGGGCAAACAAGCCTTTAGTTCTTAATCATTTGAATAAGCGCCATGTTTGTTGAATCAAAGAGTGCCGAGTGAAATTGAGCGAAATGGTTTGGGTCAACGGGAAGAAAGTGAAAAATCAAAATTACGCACTAAGTCATTCTATTATTGAATAATAAATATTAATACTTAAAGTCTACAATAATACAACTGGTGCCATGTAGGTCTAATTAGACAGGTGTGTAATTGAGTCTTTCTGATCATATTATTAAACAAGGAGTAGTAATCGGTCAGAAGACCGAAGCTTTGAGGGGCAAATGTAATTAACCCAAAAGAAAAAGGTGTTCATAGTATTTTATGGATAGTCATTGACTCGGTTGAATAGATTTCCCACTGAATCATTCATTCATTCAACTCTCCAAAAACCTTCCCAAACAAGTAATCAACTCAATCAATCCACTCTCTTCCCTTTTTTGTTCGAAGTTGATCACATCAATTTCTCAATCTGATTTATCAGCTAAAAATCATGAGTGATTACAATCGGCCACCGCCCATCTTCGGATTTGGGAGCAATAATAATCAGCAACCTCCGCCTTTCAGTATTCCTCCTCCTGCTGCTGACCAAGGTTTGTTCAAAGTTTTTCCCCCCCTTTTCTTCCCTATTGACATAGTTCTGATTTTTCTGCTGATGAAGTGATGAATTTCTGATTTTCTTTTTGATTTTTTTTCCCGATTGGTTTGGCTGTTTCAATCGATAGCTTGTCCAATGGAAATTTGTGATGAAGGGCCTCAACAACTGAATAACACTTTTATGGAGAACCACAGGTTAGTTCCCATCTCTTTTTCATGAATTTTTTGGGTGTTTTTAGTTTCCCCTCTTTTGTGAAGGTCAATTTTCTGTCGATGCCATGATCTGTATGTGGATGATGAAGGTCTGTGAAGCTTTTAGATTTTAGGAAAGCTTTAGAATTTGATTTATGAATTTATTTTTTAACGTGAGTCATTAAAGTTTGTTTTCCTTTGCTTTTCCGATTTCTTTGATTAGCATATATGGCTTTAATTTGTAGGATAGAAAAAATCAAATATGATTTGGGAATTTTCGTTTCATAATCTTAGTTTGCCTTCACAGTGTGTGACCGCTTATCGTTTTGAATGTTGAATATTTTAATCAGAGTTGAATTGATTTGTTTGTTGTTTCGGCAGAACTTATTTTCCAAACTGAAAACGGATTTATTCATTGTTAAGTAATTGCTTGCAGCATTAATCGTGCGTCTTTCCAAGAAATTCATTCTCATCAAAATCAAGATTTCTCACTCAACAAACAGTTTGGAATATACGAAATATCAGTCTTGATTAGCAACCAGAACGATGTTGGAGTGGCATTGGCAAAGCCGATTATCCTAGAGAAGATGAAAGAAAATGCTGATTGCGTGTTCTCGCCGCTCTCTCTTAACGTCCTACTGAGCTTCGTTGCAGCAGGGGCCAAAGGCTCCACTCAGCATGAGCTCCTCTCTTTCCTCAAGTCCACATCCCTTGAGCAGCTGAATTCCTTGTCCGCAGTCCTTGTGAATTCCGTACTAGTTGATGGCAGTCGTTGTGGTGGCCCTCGCTTGTCCTTTGTCAACGGAGCTTGGGTTGATCAGTCACTCTCTTTTAAGCCCGAGTTCAAGAACATTTCTGACAATGTATACAAAGCTTGTTCTGAACAAGTTGATTTTGCAAAGGTTCGTTGTTGTTTTCATTCTTGCCTTTTTGATTAATAATTTATAGTAGTTTCTTATTATTTTTTTGTTGATTTTAGGGCGTTTGACTCTCAGTTAGTTTCTGTGATGTTTTTCCTACTGCATAGATTGGGTTGTCATGTTTGGATGTTCTCTCGAAATTTGATAACTGGGCGCCTGAATCAGCAACATTAAGGAAGGTTTTTGTTCCTAAAAAGTATCCCATGAAATGTACCCACCTTTTCATTTTCTTGAATTAGAGATTTCTTTGTGATTGGCATATTCTGTTTTTATGTTAGTGTATAGTATCATTCATATGACTGTCACCAAATATAAATTAAAGTGTTTGTTGTCGGATTGTAGCATGCTGAGAAGGTAAGAGCTGAAGTGAATAACTGGGTTGAAAAAGAAACAAATGGTCTCATCAAAGACCTTATTCCCGATAATGCCGTGAACAACGAGACTAGATTGATTCTTGCGAATGCTCTGTATTTTAAAGGAGTTTGGGAGCAGAAGTTTGAAGCATCAGTGACAAAAGAGCATGACTTTCTCCTCTTAAATGGCGGCACAATCAAAGTCCCTTTTATGACCAGCTGGAAAAGACAATACATAAGTGTCTATAATGGTTTTAAAGTCTTGCGCCTTCCTTACCAACAAGGCCAGGAAATGAATCGACACTTCTCCATGTACATATATCTCCCTGATTATAAGGATGGGCTGCAGGATTTGGTGCAAAAAGTTGTTTCTCAATCTGGATTCTTTAAGCATCATTTGCCAAGGGAAAAAAAGTTGGTTGGTGACTTCCGCATTCCGAAATTCAAGATTTCATATGGGATTGAAGCGTCAGGTGTTCTAAAATATCTAGGCCTTGTTTTGCCTTTTACTGAAGGCCTGGATGACATGGTAAACTGCAATCTAGCTGTTTCTCAAGTTTATCACAAATCCTTCATCGAAGTTAACGAACAAGGTACAGAAGCTGCTGCCGCGAGTGCTGCGGTTATGAGTTTTGGTTGTGCTGCTGTTGCAGTTCCTGAGCAAGTGGTAGACTTCGTTGCGGATCATCCATTTCTTTTCATTATTACCGAAGACCGAACTGGATCACTATTGTTCATGGGTAGTGTGGTTAATCCTCATACGTCTTGAGTGACCATTGTAAGGTTTTTAATTCGGAATGGACCTAAGTTTTTATCTTGTGCAAATACCTAAATGTAACCGTATCTTGTGCTGCCAATCACTTGATTTAACTTGTTCCTTTCCAATTCTCTATTGTAATTGTAATGACTGATCATTTAAAAACTATCTAATTTCCGAGTTAGATCAGCAACAACCCTCACCTTCCATAAGGACAAAACTGGGGGTATCTTTCGTGATAACATTGTACACCAAAGACACTACCAGGCAATCACCAGACATCGATTAAGAAAATTTAAAGATTCTAACAAACTCAATGGAGAATTCCACAGTTGATTGCAATGGAGAAAACGGCCAGAATTTCTCTTATGCAATGCAATTGGCTACTTCTGTATCACTACCTATGGTTTTATACAACGCCGTGAAGCTGAATCTGTTCGAAATCATAGCAAAAGCTGGCTGCGGATCCAAACTATCACCAACGCAGATTGCAGCCCAATTGGGTAGCAAAAACTTAGGTGCAGCTTCCGTGCTCGACAGAATGCTTCGCGTACTGAGTACCTACTCTGTTCTCACTTGCGATGAGGTTGCTAGTACTGGAAATGGTGGTGGGTATGAAAGAGTTTATGGGTTGACACCAGTTGGTGAATATTCTGCACAGCATGAGGATGGTATTTCGGTCTAGTCTATGGTGGAATTGCTCAACGACAAAGTTTTGATGGACAATTGGTAAGTGGTTTCTTCAACTTTTGCTCTGGCTTTTGTGGCATTTCCAAAATCTTTGGCAGAGGGATTCTTTGAGTATATGTGATGATTTCTGGAGATAATTAATGTTAGCCTTGATAAATTTGATAAGTTTGGAAAGTATTTCAAGATGGCTTTCTTTTACTGGAGTTTGTGCATTAGCTTGAATCCATTCTGAAGCAGGGGATCATATTGAACATGACACTATGCAGAATCCCAAGGCGCGGATGTAGGGTTTGAGGGCTAAGAAACTTTCAGATCAAGATTTAATAACTTCTTATGTTATGATTAAGCTGAAATATAGGCCTTTTGAGTTATTTAAAACATTTCTAGCTACATGACATTTAGATGTGAACTGATTGGAAAGTGAATGGTTAGCCGATTACATATTTTATGTTTGAAACATTTAGGTATGAACTAGGAAATGCTGTTATGGAAGGAGGTATTCCGTTCAATAGAGTCCCCCGGACTCATATATTTGATAACCTCGGACGGGATACCAGGTTCAATGAACTGTTCCACAAGGGAATGGCTGGTCCGACAGCTATCACTATGAATGTGCTATTGAATGAATACAAGGGGTTTGAACAACTCCACACACAGTGGCGGAGCTAGGGGGACGGAAGGGCGCGGTCGCACCTGCTCAATTTTTTGTACTTATTAGGGATTTTTTAAAATTTCAATAGAAATTATATGTTGAATAATTTTTCGCACCCCCTACATTAATTCCATAATGTTATTAGTAATTTTTTTTATATTTCGCACCCCCAATATTGATTTCTTGGTTCCGCCACTGTCCACACATTGGTTGATGTTGGCGGTGGTCTAGGTATAACACTCCAAAAGATTGTATCGAAACACCCCTCCATAAAGGGCATCAATTTGGACCTACCACACGTTATTGAAGCTGCACCATTGTATCCAGGTACACTTTCATAGAATTTACACTTCTTGTTATTGTTGCTTGCCCATAGTTTGAAATGAGTCTAACATACAAACACTTCTTGAGTTGTTTCTTCCTGGTAAAGTAGACATCTCAAAATTATATTCAGCAACTTTTCTTGAAATTCAGTAGACACCAAGTAAAATATTTTATCAGACACCAAGCCACTTTTCTTCAGATTCGATAGAGACAAAGTAAAATTACACATACTATATGTAATGTCATTTTTTCCCCCTTCCCTTAAAATATATGGCTGACAAAGAGATTCTTGACTTGACATATTTCTCTTCTTCGCCTTATTATTGATTGTGAATGGACATAACTTTGTTTTGCTATTTTACATCTAATCAGTTAGGCATGTTATGCTGATATTCTGTAAGATGTGGTTCTCCGTTCCATTTCTTAATTGGCATGTGCACTGCCTTCAGCACGATTTTGTAGTTATTACTAACTAGATGCCATCCATTTGAAATTCGAGATACAGGATTGGAGCACATTGGTGGAGATATGTTTGAATGTGTTCCAGGAGGAGACGCCATTTTATTGAAGGTAGAATTTACTCTTTCATTGCAAATTTTTTCCTTCACAAAAGTGGATTTTGTGAAACCTTGTAACAATCACATGTTACTCGAGTATCTAGCTAGCTGCTTCCTGAGTGAAGATGTATAAGACTCGTGTATTACATTGTATTGACAAACATATATATAGTGTTTAGGGTTACAATGATATTACAACAATACTCCTAATCTAACCCTAATTATACATATACTAACATCCCCCCTCAATCTGAACGGGAGGTAGGTGAACATTCAGATTGTCTCGAAAATCATCAAATAAGACCTGAGGCAAGCCTGTAGTCATGATATCAGCAAATTGATGAGAGGAGGGAATATGTACAACACGAATAGAGCCCTGCACAATCTTCTCACGAACAAAGTGAATATCAATCTCAACGTGTTTTGTGCGAAAATTCTGAACAGGGTTAGCAGATATGAAAATGGAACTAACATTATCACAAAACACGAAAGTGGCAGTAGGCAAACTTATAGACAACACAGAAAGTAAAGAATGCAACCTGCATATCTCGGCAATCGCATTAGCAACAGCGCGATATTCAGCCTCTGCACTAGAGCGAGAAACAATGGGTTGACATTTGGAAGACCAAGAGACAAGATTGGAACCCAAGAAGACACAGTACCCTGAAGTAGAACGGCGGGTGTCAGGACAACCAGCCCAATTAGCATCAGAGTAAGCAACAAGTTGATCAATGGCAGTAGGCTTGAGAGAGAGACCATAATGAAGAGTACCCTTCAAATAGCAAAGAATACGTTTGACTGCCTGATAATGAGATTCACGCAGGGCATGCATAAAAAGGCAAACTTGCTGAACAGCATAAGTAATATGCGGACGAGTGAAAGTGACATACTGAAGAGCACCAACAATACTACGATATTCGTAAGGATCTGAGAATAAAACACCATCATGTTGAGACAACTTGCCCTTGCTATCAATTGGAGTGTGTGCCAAGTTAGCCGAGGAAAGCTTACACCAGTCCAATAGACTGGCAATATATTTGGACTGAGTCAAAAGGAGACCATCAGAACTACGAGTAACTAAGATGCCTAGAAAATAGTGGAGATCACCCAAATCAGTCATAGCAAATTCCTTCCGTAATTTAGCAATGATGGAAGCCAATAAAGAATTAGAGGAGGCAGTAAGTAGGATATCATCAACATAGAGCAAGAGAACAGTCATATCCTCACCATTGCGATAAACAAACATATAAGAATCTGATTTGCTAGAACAAAAACCATGTGAGGAAATAAAAGAGGTAAACCGGAGAAACCAAGAACGGGGTGCTTGTTTCAAACCATAAAGAGCACGATGTGACTTACACACATAATCCGGATACTGATGATGAACAAAGCCAGGTGGTTGCTTCATGTTGACAGGCTCTTGCAACAGACCATTCAAGAACGCATTTTTGACATTAAGCTGATGAATAGGCCATTGGCGAGAAAGAGCCAGAGATAAAATAGTACAAATAGTAGCAGGGCGAACCACCGGACTGTATGTATCACCAACATCAATTCCAGGGCGCTGAGAGAATCCCTGAGCAACAAGTCGGGCTTTGTAGGGATCCAAAGAGCCATCAGACTTTTCTTTTACCCAAAACACCCACTTCGAACCAACCACATTAACATCTGGGGGTTTTGGAACAAGAGTCCAAGTATTGTTGCGCGACAAAGCAGCAATTTCATAGTTCATAGCCTGTTGCCATTCCTCAAACTTACATGTCTCGCGATAGGTAGTAGGAACTTGCAAAGCAGTGTCAACAACAGTACTAGCTAAAGAGAAAGCAGGGTGACGAGAAGGAGGAGCAATAGAATCAGCACCAGCAGCAGAGACACGGGAAGACAATGGGGTCTTTGGATTATTGATCACTTCATCTTCAGGATTCGCCGTAGCAGTGACGCCGAAAGTAACAAACCAACGATTACACCATCAACGATTACGAACCTTGGACAACAACTAACAAGCAGCAGCCGACCAAACAAACAATTAACAACAACACCGGCAGCAATCAACTACAAGAATTAAGGAGAAACGAAAGATAGCAACAACAAAAAAAAAAAACTGAAACCAAGACCATGAAGAACGCGACAAAATCAGAGATCAGTCATGAACTCGTGTATTCAAAGGATGGCAGTGGCAAACGGCAAGAAGAAGACCGACGGTAGCAGCGTGGAAGAGACAACAGCAGCAGCAACAACAGAAGAACCGGTGGAGGAAATCGTCAATTGGCTTTGGTTGATGAAGAACGAAAGGATGGCACCACAGCAGCAAACAACAGCAGCAAACAGGGAGAAGAAGCCACTCTAGGGGACAGCGGCGGCAGAAGTGAAGATGAAAGAAGAAGCAGCAACGGAGAACTTCTGAAGAATACACGCAAAGAGCGGCCGAAATCGGGAGAGGCTCCAGGGAGAGGCTCTGATACCATGAAGATGTATAAGACTCGTGTATTACATTGTATTGACAAACAAATATATAGTGTTTAGGGTTACAACGATATTACAACAATACTCTGAATCTAACCCTAATTATACATATACTAACACTGAGACCTGTAACAAAGTGTTAACCATACCTTTATGGATGAAATGCCAACAAAATGATATTTCTAACCATAGGGTAACGAGACCTAAAGTATGGTGGTTTCACCTGGTGTTTTTTTCTGTTTTAGCCGTCCTACTTATATCAGTGATTTCTTGATTATCAGATTCAGCAAGCGGAAGCAAAAGCTAAGAAAATTTTGGATTTAGGGTTTCATGAAGAACGGGTTTTGTGAAGTACATTCTGTGTATATTATGTATCAAAATATGTACAGAGATGGAAAATACATTAAAGATATATACTGCTGTCTAAAAATAACTACTGCTTACTATTTACATATTTGCCTCAGTAATATTCATATTTACACAAAAGACCCTCTGTACTAGAACTAATATATGTACAACTAAAATCAGAACCTCATCCTGGATGATCAACTTCTGATTCTTTCTGTGAATTCTTCTCAGAATTCTTCTCAAAATAGTCTAGATCCCCCCCCCCCCCATAAGCTGGAACATGAAGCAAGGTCTTCATGCCAAGCTTGGACAACAGCTGAACAAATAAGGGATAGGCAAGGGGCTTAGTAAAGATGTCAGCTAGTTGAAGGTGAGAAGGCAGATGCAATGGTACAAGAAAGCCTTTGGTGTATTGAAACCTCACAAAATGACAGTCAAGCTCGAGATGCTTAGTGCGTTCATGAAACACCGGGTTCTCAGTAATATAAATGGCAGACTGATTATCACACCAAATCGGGATAGGAAGATCAAGAGGAATACCAAAATCAGTGAGGAGATAGGAGAGCCAAAGAAGCTCTCTGCTGGTATAGCTCATACAACGGTATTCAGCTTCTGCACTTGAACAGGAAAGGGTGGGTTGCTTTTTAGCTT